GGCGACGCGAGCTCGGCGCCTCCAGCAAGAACCGAAAGTCTGCAGGAGGTTGGGCGCGCATGGGGCCGCGGGCCTCGCGAGCCTCTCGTATTTAGGGGTGCAGGGGAGCGCGGGGCCCAAGCTGGCCTAAGCGTGGGGCGCCCTCTTTTCCCTTCCTGAGCCCGAGAAACTGTCACCGTCCCATCCCCAATCCTTCATCACGGAAACGAGCAGAAGAGGGGAGCCCCAGAAATCCAATCTGCAGGGCCTTGCCCTACACACACACACACACACACACACACACACACACACACACGCGTATGGCTGGGGTCCCGCCCCCCGCCCCTGTTTCTGAGGCTCCTTGCTGGGACTCTCGCTAAGGTCCTTTCCTCCACCGCGGGTCCTTCAGCACTTCTCCCTCTTCCTTCTCTGCCCCCAGAGACCCTTCAGACCTCAGCTCCTCTTTGCCATAAAAAGCACTTTTTCCAATTCTTTAAACAGCCTGGGGGAGGAGCCGGAGAATCCCGTTCTCCCCTGACCCCTAGGACCAGAAGGAGGGTGACCCCCAGCTAGACCCCAGATTCCCGGACGCAGCTGCACCCCCACCCAGCCTGATGTGTGCTGGGACCCTGGCCCCTCACACAGTGCCGGGCCCTGGCTCTGGCATCTGTCCCCAAGTGACCTGACCCGTGGGAGCTGGGACCACGTCCAGGCCTCTGTGATGCAGATGGAACGTGGGAGGGCATCCGGCCTCCTCCAAACCAGATCCCTGCCTGTTCTCTTAAAAGAGGCCGCTGACCCTGGCAGGGAGCCCACCTCCTTCCCACACAGCCTGTGGCCACAGCGCAACATCAACACCCATGCTTGTATGCTCCATGGACTGTGGGTACACAGAGGGCAGCCCCCAGGCCTGGTGCTGGAAGGCTCCCAGGCAGGGCTGTGGCGACAAGCCTGGAACATTCTGCTGCCCAGTGGGGCTCCCTCCAGCCCCTGAGCTGGGAGCCACCTTGAAGGTGCTGCCACCTCAGTGCTACTCCCACCGGGTGGGCGGCCCCACTCAGCCTGTTAGACCAGGTGTGCGGGCGTCCACCTGGGGGAGGGGGCCACGGTTAAGGAGGCCAGGGTGGGGGCTGCTGTCTGGACCCCTCTCAGCTCCCCCCCAGGACCAGCCTGCTCCGAGCCCGTGGTCACCTTGCGAGGCCTTCGGATGCAGAACTGCTCGGAGAGGATGCTGAGGGCCATGGCAGACGGCTCGGCGCGGGCTGGGGCGGGTGGCCTTCTGCCTCCCTGCAGGGGGTCTCTGTGCAGCACCAGGTCCAAGCCGTAACCGCACAGAAGCTGTGTGTGCTGCCGGGAGCCTGGTTGCTGGGGCCGACCCACGGGGACGGAGCAAAACACAGCCCTGTCCCCTGGGCTGGAGGTCTCACAGGGCCAGCACAGGGGAAGTTTCCAGTCACTTGGTGATGCTGGCCCTCCGGGGCCACTCGATTTCATGAACTGACGCTGCT